CCCACACCCACACCCACACCCACACCCTATAATGTAGTAAAAACTTATAATTAATGAATTCACATCAATCGTGTTTAAAAAAGTTATCGGAAATGGATGAAACTTGAAGGAAGTTTGATAGTTTCACATCGACACATCTCCTGTACTTAGCATCCTGTAACATAAGATAGTCAATAGGAAAGACAGTCTTCTTTTTTACATTTTAAACTAATTCAAATCGTTGTTACAGCTATGTTTTTGTTTTGAATTATTTACTCTTTATTACTTGTTTTTGATATTATAGATTGTATTCATCATAGAAAAATTGTCCTTATGCATCCCACTCAAAGAATAATTAGTGTTCATGGTGCTGCTGGTGCGGGTAAAACAACGATGTTGAAAAAGATTAGTGAACACTGGTGTGACAACAAGTGTAATATTTTTCTGGAGTCTGTTGACAATCTTATAAGTACAAAAAGTTATATTAGACGACAATCTAGTTTAGACTTTTTTTCGACGACAATTAAAGCATCTGAGAAACTGATTCAAACAACTAATCAAAAGACTATTTTATTTTTCTTTTTATTGGCATCGTCTTTGTATTTATTTTTTACTGAAAATTATTATCTACTCTTAATCCTATGGATTATTCCTTATCTGATACTCTTCACATGTCAACTTCTCGCCAGTCATATATTGTCAAAATTGTGGAATTATTATTCGAATCATTACCTTAAATCGAAAGAAATCATAGATTTTTCTTTGAATACAGAAAATCATGATAATATTGTTCGTTGGGTATGGTACGATAGAAATTGTGTTGATATTTATGGTTTTTGTTGTCTTGATCAACCGTTAATCGTACCAAAAGATTTTCTAGATATTTTAGTAGATCAAACAGTTACAACCAATGTAGCCATCATCATTGACACACCAAAAAATCTCATTTATCAACATCTTGCAGCCAGAATTTGCGGTCAACAATCAACAAACCGAATGCGTTTTGTTACTAAACTATTAATCTTAATTCCATATATGGTAGAAACAACATTGCAAACTCTGGATTTCATTGGACAATGGTATAATGCGTTCAATATACCAGTTATTAAAATTAGTCAGATTTATCCTAAACTTGATAAAGATGAAGAAACACAAGAAATACTTTGGACAAAACATTCTATTGATATTCTACTGAATACCATCGAAGACAAAATCAAAAATAAACAACCTACTACTGATCAACAATTAATCTTGCAGGAACAATTAAAAAAGCCATGGTTGACGAGAATTCGACAAGATTCTTGTGTTTATTAAAATATTTACATGAATATATTTAGTCTCTCGCATTTATTCAAGATGATTATAATAATCAAAACTATCAATAGTTTATGAACTAAAATCTTATGCTTTCTATTATTAAAATATGTAGTTAAATGAAGAAAAAGTTTGTATTTATATATTTTTTTTCATCTATATTATATTTATCGCTAACTAACCCATAAGAAACTAAATTATACATTTTTTTAATGTGGTCGAGTATTTGTTTTTTTTTAAATAATCTTTGATTCAAAACGACTGAAATTCTGTAGTTAATCTTTAACCTTCTAATTCATTAAAATAGTTCGATTTACCTGTTCTGTCAAAAGATAAGGTTTTTTTAAAGTCTATAGAACTTTTTATGCTTCAAATGACAAGAAATATACTGAATAAATCCATCGGTATCTTTCTAATATTCGAATAATTAGAAATTGAGCAACGATTTTATAAAAATGGAATATTCTTTTCCTTTTCGATCGTAAAAGATATGCTAATATGTCACCTTGATTTCTCGTATCATTACAAAAATGAATAAAACAAACAGTTTACACTTGCCTTGCACATTTCAACTGCATATAGCTTGTGACGAAAATTTTGCTCATATTTCACTAGGTAGATTTTTCACGAAAAAAAAACTCATTACCAAATGTTTAGCTATTCGAATGTTGAAAGAAAAATACTATTTTCTAAATTATTCATTACTTTTTCCAGTAAATTTCTTATTACTTAGGGTTATCGAAAAGTAGTGGTAGAGATTCTTGTTTTGTTTATGGAAAGCTTGAAAAATATTTCTTTTCTATGAAAAGATAGAGCGTCTTTCGTTCTATTTCTTCATGCTATTGGATCACTACTAAACTAATATTATAATAATAAAATTTCGATACGAACTATTTTTGTTGAAAAGCAGCTGGTAGTATTTAGATCATAATGGATGTGGTTTTTTTTTGCACTTCACTTTACTATCACATCTTATGTTATATTCAAAAAACAAAATATACGAGAAGATGCAACGTGAGGAACTCTATAACTTACAAAGATAAGATAGAAAAAACCGAATTCTTCTTTTTCTTTTTAACAAAAAAAGTATCATTTTCATTATGTCCAAACTTGGTAAATCAGAGTTTTGTTTATTTTTTAAACGAAAAGTACAACCCTAAAATAAGCGGTACTTGATAGATGGTAGAGGTTTTCATACTGCATCTTTTGATATATTTTGTTTTTTTTTAATACAACGTATTGAGTGATAAGAAAATGAAATGCGAAAGTTTCCCATTTTTTATCCAATAGTCATTACTAAGTAAATGCTACCAGCTAGTTTTCAACAAAAATAGTTCGTATCGAATCTTTTCTTATTGTGATTTTAGTTTAATAGTAATCAAATAGCAAAGAAAGATAGAGCGAAAGACATTCCATCTTTTCATACAAAAAGAAAAAGCTTTCTATAAACAAAAAAAAGAACGTTTCTTATGACTATTGGATAACCCTAAGTATTATATTAATGTTGTGCTACTGCGCTGTGATTATTGTTATTTCTATGAAAAATCTCAAATAATAAAGAAAAGGCATCTACAAAAATCAATGAAGTTACTCTTTTTACAATATGACTATTTTTCCTTTATTTTAGATGTTGACATTAATTTTATTTTCATGCTTTATTTCTCTATTAATTATTTATATTTTGTGTTTGAAAAATATCTATGAATATTTTAAACGTCGATCTATATCTGGTCCTACTCCATCATATTTCTTTGGTAATCTACGAACACTTTGGTCATCTAATGCTTACTCTCGACAATTAGAAAAATGGACACAACAATATGGACCAATCTATGGAATGTTCGAAGGACGAACACCTGTTTGGATTGTATCAGATATTGAATTTTTACAAGAAGTATTTATAAAACAATTTCAAAATTTTTCATCAAGAAAAATAACTGTTTTTTCTCGACCATCTTCTGGAAAACGTGTAGGTTTATTTGATGCACAAACAAACAAATGGAAACGACAGCGATGTGTTATTAATGCAACATTTACTCCATTGAAACTAAAACAACTAACACCATTACTTCTTAATTGTATTAATGAATTATTTAATGAACTTCCTATTGATGGACAAGATTTTAATATATATGAATCTTATAAAAAATTAACAATGAATGTCATTTGTGTTTGTGTTCTCGGTATTGATACACATTCAAATGATATATTTTTAAAAAAAAGTGCACTATTCTTTTCGAATGATATACGTAAACGAATGATTGCAAAACTTGGAAGTCTTCTACCAATTTTTCGACCATTAGTTGTCAAAATATTTACTCTTCAAAATAATATACGTCGAATATCACATAATTTATGTCCATCTATATTTTTTCCATCATATGAACTTTCTCCAAGTTTATGGTTAATCAATCATCTTGAACAAATGGTTAAAGATCGACAAACAAGAAAATATCAACGTTTAGATTTATTACAATTGATGTTAAATGCTACTGCAACTGAACAAGAAATCATGCAGGTATTGTAAATATACACGTATTTTTTAAACAGAAAAAGAGATTTCATTTGTCACATTTGTTTGTTTATTTTTTAGGATGAAAACCAAAAGAAATTAACATATGATGAGGTTATTATGAATGTATTTTTATTTTTGATAGCTGGTTTTGAAACATCATCAACAGCTTTAGCTTGTGCAACATATATTTTGGCATCAAATCCACATGAACAAATCAAATTACAAGAAGAAATTGATCGTTCACCACTAAGTGATGTTAATGATTTGGAACAATTGGACTTATTTGTTAAAGAAGTTCTTCGCATGTATCCAATACCAATTTCATTTGTTAATCGTCTTTGTCTCAAGGATACAATTGTTTGTAATCAACATATTTCTCAAGGTAAGCATGACGAAAATTTTCTTATATATATATATATATTACTTGATCTAAATTATATTATGAAATTATTTTAGGTGATATTATACAACCTGATATCTATTCAATTCATTATAGTTCTGAACTTTGGGGTCCTTATGATCCGCATGAATTCTATCCTGATCGTCATCGAGACAATAATCGATCACCAATGGCTTTTATGGCATTTGGTAATGGTCCAAGAAGTTGTGTTGGTATGAGATTTGCTTTACTAGAAATAAAATTAGTTTTGGTAAATCTACTTCGAAATTACACAGTATTGAAATCATCGAAACTCGAATCCCATTTCAATATAAGAGAATTAACATTGATAGCACCAGATGAAGTTTGGATTCGACTTGAAAAGAGAACATCAACAGTATCTAATTTAGACTCTTGATTATGGCGTCGAAATTCGAATGAACTTCTGTATTTTATATGTTTTGTCTGTATATTCACGTTATTATGGTTTCAGTCACAGCAAAGAAAATTTCGCCACTTTCAACAATTTCTTTGCAATCGGATTTTAACACGAACTTTTTAGAGAATTTTAATCAAGACTCACTGGGTGTGGGTGTGCTTGGAGGTCAGGTGTAGATATTTTATTCTCTCGTGATACCTACACCCACATCCACCTTCCCAGTCTTTATCACATCTGTTCGTATTGTAAAAATCTAAGTCTATTTCTGCGCTTTACGGTATTTGACTTGAGGGTGTGGGTGTGGGTGTGCGAGTGTGGGTATGGGTGTGTGGGTGTGGGTGGGTGTGGGTGGGTGTGGGTGTGGGTGTGGGTGTGGGTGCGGGTGTGGGTGTGGGTGTGGGTGTGGGTGTGGGTGTGGGTGTGAGTATCAGTGCGGGTGTGAGTGTTTATTACTACACCTACACACCCATGCCTACACCCACACCCACACCCACACCCCCACCCCCACACCCACACCGCACACCCACACCCACACCTACACCCACACCCACACCCCACACCTACACCCACACCCCACACCCACACCCACA